AATAATGTTATGGTATTCAAGCCGTAGAATTGGGTTTGTCGGCACAACAAACTTCACATTTACTATTCACGAGAACAAAAATAATGTTAAAAAACATGAGAAATAATCGTAACTAAAAATAAATAATTACATTTTTAATAAATACATTATAATTCACAAATTAGAAACAGTATATTTCTGTAGTGAACAGTCAACCACTTTTTATATTAAAATACAATTGAATTCTTATTCATGACGTACATATTATAATCTATCAAATTCACATGGTTCACCAAAAAATAAAACAAAAAAGTATACAATTTAACTGTTTATGTTGTTTTTATGTCATTAAAAAAGTCATAAAATATTGTCGCTCTCAAGCCATTGTCATTAATCTTGCGTACAAATAGGTTGATCACAAAAACACAATATAATATTATCTGTTATTATTTATTACCTAACCAACCTAACCTGTAGGTAATATTATTATACTATCGTATTGAATATAAAACTTGTTAAATACGTTTGACAACTAATAATAGAATTATGACGGTAAAATATGAATTATAACTGTTTCGAGTCAGATTACTAAAAATTAAAAAAAAAAAAACTTACCATTTCGTCGGAATGCATCCAATCATCTTCACATTTCAATTTAAAAATGTCTGAATAAAAGGGATTGCAATAGGGTAATTAGTTACAATATCGTTCAGACATGGTACATTGTCATAATCTATTTGTCAATTATATCGTTAGCAAAGAAAACGAACAGTGGTACATTGCAATATTACAACGTGCATATACGGCGGCGGAGCAAATAGTATGAAGTATTTTTCTTTTCAAGTGATACACAGGAAATATTCGACAATTAAAGGCCAGTATTACAACGTTTTTTTCTTTTTGGTAAAATCGGTGACCTCGTTTATTAATATAAGCACATAATAATAGTATGATCCACTAAATATCAATATTTTGGTAATGGATCAGTGATAATATTTGTTCGTCCAGAACCGAAATTAAACTTTAAATTGTTTCCTGTTTCGTACATTGTTATTATAGCTACCTATTGAATTTCATAAAATATTTTCATTTATTCTGTTTTATCAATATTAGATTCTAGGCTAAGATTACCAACAAAAACCATTACATACAATGTCAATAAAGACAACTTTTCGAGTACACATAGTAGCAATATGCATTAACAAAAGCTTAAAATGAGTTTTCCTTGTGTAAACTTTTGTAACTCTAGAAGTTACTGTGTGAAATTGTAAAACTAAGTAAGCAAAATGATAGTAGGTATTCGTCTTAAACACCGAGACGATCATTATTTAATTTTTAATAGATGTGTGTTTACCGATTAATTATTATACTTATAAATTATTTCACGATAATATTGCACTGCTTTATATTCACGTTGTTTTTTGTTTTAACTTTCAAAGCGTAATAATATTATGCTTAAAATAAAATCTTTTATTATATTTTGATAATGATATTCTATTATGTATTAATTTCATGATTGTTCCAATTAACTTTCAATAATCTTTATAAACATTTGAAAACAGTTTATAAATATTTAGTTTCCAGAATAACAGTGGTTGGAGGTTATGAAGAGAGATTATCAGTTAATCAAATTTTAACTTATAAAAAGAACAACATTGATTATACGTATGTATATATGAATAACATGCAAGTAGGTATTAAAAAATCCACCTATTCAACATTTTCTTTTGACATCCCCACCTTTATTTAACTTTTTTGACCATGCCCCCACTAATGAAAACAAATTATAAATTACAAAAAACGCCAGTTTGGCAGTTTCGTATAATGTTTGTTTTATTCCATTTCATTTTATATCTTTATATAATTATTCTAATTATTCATATTAGAAGTTTATATTCCAAACTTATTATCACTGACGGGTCGTGGCGTTAATTTAATCCTATTATATTAGGTTTTCAAGGACTCGAAAACTCAAATTGATATCAATCTAATTTTGAAACGTTCAGTGCTCATCCTATAAATATTCTCAAACTTGCAGATTGTGTTATAATATATTTTATATGATTAATTTTTATAAAATGATAAAATAACTATATTATTTAACAGAAAACAGCCATTTAATTAACAATACATTATATCATACACATTACACAGTTGGACGAGTTGAGGTATTCGAACATTACATCGTCTAAAACATTTTGAACATTTCGCGTAAAATGCAAATATTACAATAAGTATTATCATTGAGTATAAATTGTGTACAATATTATAATATACTCAATGGCATTGTTGAATAAAACATTATATTATAATAATATTTATTTATAACTGGAGCCATACGATAGATAGTCGATAGCACGTTCTCGACCACGGTTTATTTGTTTGTATTTAAATAATAAATATTCCGCTGTGGTTTTTTGTATCCTGAGGTCATACAATCTCATTAACTAAATATGTTTCAAAATGTAGTTATATGTTGTACATTTACGTTGATTGTGGTTTGTTAATATTAAAACAAGATATAAGTCCCTCGTTCAAAATTCTCATGTTTTGCTATCGAAAACATGTACATAATAATTTCATATATTATTTGGTTGTAGCTAGTTTACGTGGTGGAATTATGAAAATTTTTTAGGAAAATACTATAACCATTATTCAATAATATAATAAAGTAATAAACTCACATATTTTATCATTATAACTTATAATAATTAATTATACTGACGGATATTACACGTCATGATCATGGCGAATAACACGTGAATCGTGTGCAAAAATAAAAATTTTACTTTCGCGATAATGATAATTTTAACCGAATAAAAAAACAAAAAGTCATCCTTGGCCCAAATTAAACTTGACTGTCTGCACGTGTGTGCAAGGATATTATTATTATTATTATTATTATTATTATTATTTACTGAACAATAAAGACACGCTGAAACATGATATAATATATTATACCGAGATTCTCGGTTATTTCTGGTACACACAATTTCGATCCACATTAATCTCGAGGTTTCTCAATTAGAGCCGCGTGGGTAACGCGTAGTATTCAATTAAAAATAATAATAACCACGGGTGCCTATCGTGATGCAAATTAATTTACTCGAACACCTGAAATCTTAGAATCAAATTTACGCTTTGTTAATGGTCTGACACTTTGAAAGGTGTGCACTCCAGCAGGTTCGGCGGTCAGAACAGTATTGGGGTGTATTATTGCGCCAACTACGACCCAAATAATCGGGTGCTCAAAAGCATTGCCGAGTGCACGTGCATTCGAACCCCAACTATAATTAAACGCGAGGCTATCTTCTAAGTCCGAATGGTACGCAATTGATAAACGATTATTGTAGAAGCGCATTAATTATCGTTCGAACACGTGCTATATATATCAACAGACGATAGTACTATATTACTTCATTCAAGTTATAATATTGCAATACAGCTGATACATTAATTCATCATTTTATACTATGATTATAGCAAATGTCTTTAGTAACTTAAAATTTTAAAAATAAAATACATTGTGTTACATAGGTTAATAACATGTGTTTAAATGGTCTTTACATAACATTAATAGTACACTTTTGAAAGTCTTTGCACCACAGATATTGAATTTGAATAAAAATTTGTAAAAAAATCGATGAGCGGTGAAGATTAGTATAATATGTCACACCTTACGTATAATTTATAACATATTACATTCACAATAATATGTATTGTACATATGTTACAATACATGTGTTTATAGGCTTTTATCCTAGAAAATGACGTTAGGTTTAGTTTATCAGATAACACTTTGAATTCGAAGACGAAAGAAAAGATAAATCGATTGAAATTCTGTCAGATACTTGACAATCCATTTAAAGTATACGTAATGTTTACAAAAATGGCATGCGACTTTAAGTTTATACCCTTTGACAAGAATACACATCGTTTGGATCTCGTATTTTTTATCGCTAACCCTTTAACACCGGAACAAGTTTTAGCTAAAGCATCGAACCCCATTTCCGGTATGTAAAATATCTATTGTCATAGCATCCACATTCCTCCTGACTGCGTCTCGTGAAAGCAATTCGAGTACCTGGAAGTGGCAAGTGCCAACAAATTTACGTCTAAAAGATTTCATACGAGACAAAACATTATATTATAAGGACATGAAGGATAAGCAGGGTTATATTATCCGTACACGCGCTGGTACATAACGGATAGCGATGATGTGGTTCATAACATTTACTACGAAATAAAGTCGTTTAAAATGTATTATTTGTAGTATATTTACAAACGTTTTAAGCACTTAAATATTATACCATCTACTAGAGAATATTTCATCGGGTTTATGGATTGTCGTGTATGGCTTAATATTTCTGTACACAAAGTTCATAATAATACCTACCTAGGATGATAAGATATTAAGCTTCTGGAATAAACAATTGTTTTTTGAAAATAAAACTGTAATGTAAAATGATGATACAAAGTAGTACTTTGTACTTATATGAAAATTTAATTATGACACTAAGCTAAAAAAGCCAAACTACAATATTAAAGGAACGCCTTTCAACATGGTTGTAACAGTCATCAATCGCCATTCCTTCTATTTATATTGACGATTCTGGGATTTCTGTTTTAAACTGATAAACTGTGTGTCGATTATAAAATAGAGCATCATTTGTGACTCGCTTATTTAAAGTTGTATTCAGTAAACGATACTATATTGTGATCTATTCAAACAAGCCACACATAGTTGATTATAATATTGCGTATTAATAATAAATATTATACAATAAAATAGTATTGCGTACACTGGGAAAATGAACACGTGTACCTTAATTGCCTATCTATGGCGCCGTGTCACAATTATAGACTTATAATGTATAATAATATAATGTTATAAGGACAGGCCGTTATGTAAAAACATTTCGCTTTAATATTGACGATTCCAGGATTGCAATGTTTTCGTACACGATGCTCACATTATAATTATAACATTGTATGGAATTTTTTTTATTTTTGTTTCTCAGATCCCAATGACCATGGAGAATTGCGCGGCACTAATCGTTCAGGACCAGAAGTACTGTTACTTCCGGAAAGCAGTGCACTTTTGGGCGCAACAGGCTCTTCTGCCAGCTGTTGTGGCCGTGGGCGTGGTGGGTAACATGCTGTCCGTGGTCGTGCTCACCAGAGAACCGATGAAGAGCTCCACTAGCACGTATCTGACTGCCCTGGCTGTATCCGACTTGTTCTATTTGCTGTTTGTGTTTACCATATCCTTCGAGAACTATCCTTGGATCGTCGAGGCCGACTACTACATTTATTGGAAATGGTACCCTTACGGACTGTGGCTTACCGACGCTGCTAGTAAGTACACTATACCTTTCCTGTATACAGTTTAAAGAAAAAATTGAAAATAGATAACATAATATTGGGGGAACTTATTATGTAGGTCATATAGTATGTAATATGTATACCACGACGATCAATTGAAAAAATTATAAGTGACATTCTTGTTTTTGATGTATTACATCATTTCTAAGTGTATTCATTAAGAATGAGATTCTTATAGTGTAGATATATCAAATATATTTTTTATTTCTATATACTTCTAACATTAAAAAAAAAACAAATACAATTTAGTTTTGCTATTGTTCTCCTCTAAAAATTATAAATAGTGTCTCGTAAACCCGGTACAGCCAGTGAACTTGATACACCATACCCAACCGTTCGTTAAGTAAAAGTGTAAAACATAACCTAAAAATAAATAAATAAAAATATGAATTTCCGTGTTTCTTAAAAATCGCATATAGGTAGTTTATAAAGCTAATTTTAGTTTAATTACTGATTACCATTAAGTATTCAAATAGTTAGGTAAACTTTACGGTTAAATCCTTAGGCGGGTATACGTGGAACGTGTTTACATATAATAATATATAAGTCAGTGTATGGTTGGCCAGAGGGCACCGAGAACAAACACTGTGCTGCAGAGCCATTCGCTTTATATACATGTATATTGGTCCTGAATAATCACCGAAACTCCTGACTCGATTTCAATGCGGTTTTATCGTACATTGTTGGAAATTTTTCAAAGGAGAACACAGCGGCCACATAATATAAACTACTGACCTAACTGTTTCTCTCTAAAACTAAGCGGCGAAATAGGAATAAAGCCTTGGCGCCATCTGTTTGGTTTTTACGGTTAATTACCATTTTTTATAAGAACTATAACCGGGCAAAGTCATCTAGATAATTCGTTTAGTGTATAATAATGTTTACCGCGTTGTGTAATATTGTGTATAATAAGTCTGTGTACATTTGAAATAATTACTATTATTCCGTATCGCAAGTCGCAGCGCACAGGTAATGAAAAAAGTAGTAAACTAATGTAAACGTATTTAAACGAGGCGGGTAGAATATATGTATCCAAAATTATTATTTAAATTTAATTATTAATTGTTGTTTTAATCTTCAAATGAATTATCGCGTAGTTTATTCGTGAATGGGGATCTGCAAACGGAATATTATTTTCAATAACATACGGTCTCTCGGGATGAAGTGGCTTACAGCGCTTAATACATTATAAGAGTATCTTGGATAAACTGGATGACGTAATATTGTATGTTTGGATAATAGGATGGAAGAGATGATTTCTGAGCATTGTTTAATTTAGCGAAAAATTGGAAGCCGGACCAAGTGAAACTTTCGTTCAAAAAGTTCATAAGCTCATTATTTCCTGTCGCGAGGTCGTATGCCTGACAACTGAAAGTTCGATTGGGTTCTTTCGGACTGAGGTTTCGAACAATATTCAACAAAAGACTCAACAACCATCCGACGAAAAAGAAAAAAAATGTTATTAATTTTTTTCCAGTAACACGCGTCTTTTGTGTGTGACCGAAGTGGAAGGGAGAGATATATTTGTCGACGTTTCGGCGGAACTGGTCACGCGCTTAATCAACACGTCTATTGACGACGTCGAATCTGGAAAAAAGACTTGACCCTCGGTGAGCATTTTTTTATGAGGAAAAACAAAATGAATAGGCCTCGGCGTGTGTGTATATAGACTCGGGGGAACGACCGCACGCACCTATATACCCTTTCGAGGGACTATCTAACGGAGATGCAATCGTCGGGTACAATAAATCGTGTGTGAGTCGTGAGCAATAAAGGTGTGAAAATAAATGGACACTTCTCTCATTGTAACGGGCACAAGGCGGCGAACATATTACGTCCTATATTTTCTGTTCGCACGCGGACTTCTCGCCTGCAGAAGCAGTATCAATGTGCTTTCATACAGTGATTCCGTTATTTCGGAAAAGCCGACTGCGAAACAATTAACGCTGGCGATATTCCGCCGTTTTCAAGTATCCCCGGGGGAAATGCCGGTAAATAGTATTTATAAAGGGAAACAACTCGAAGCACTAAAATTACTTTCTCCCGGAATAGTGTACGGACGCAATGCATGCCACTGTACTATACACGACGACGCGAATGTAATATAATATAAAAATGTCGTCCTTACGTATGGCGCAGATTTCGTATGAAATACAACTATTTATCCATTTAGTGTGAAACTCGTAGTGTTTCCCGTCGAATTTGATATCCGTTTTAAATAGGCAAACAGCAAATACGCATATTTTGCAATTAATGCAAAACACACACCGACGGTGATATCGCATTACACAATTATTAAGATAGGTACCTTCACACGACTGCAGTGTGGTCAAAGTTTTAAATATGATCACTTTTGCTGCAGTTATTAATTTGTTTTACTTTTTAAAATTTTTTTTTTTTATGTAATTTTATTGTAATCCGATAAATGTAATTTTCTAAAAATGCGTATTGTATGTTTCGAAAAAGAGTTTTTTTCACGGATTTATTAACTTTGATGACTACTACGAATATCTTTAATTTCCGTTATGTTAATAAACTCACTTATACTATCTAAAAATATAAATTAACAACCTGTTAAAGTAGGTATACATATTTGAGCACGTATACATCGACATAATAAATTATTCATATTATTGTTCGTTTTGAAATCATGATTGGTATCAAAAATATATCACTTTTTATTGGATTTTAATTAGGACATATTTTAATTATGCCTATTTACTTGTTATAGAGTAATTTATTATAAAAATAATAACATGTCTAGAGTTTTATTATGATATTTATATTATAGTTATTTTTGAAGTGTCTGTTTTTAAAATGCTAAAATTAAAAATATATATTATATAATCACATTACAACAGCAAGCTTTTAAAAACTTTGTTTTTAATTAGTGTTTCTAAGATGTCAATTTTGAGAGTATATTTAATTTTTAGCAAAGACAACTTTGTTTTAGTTCCATTAAGCAACATTAAAATTTATTGATTTTGTTGACATATTCAAAGAAAGATCCTATTAATTTATTATTAAATTGTAACTTGTAAGATTAATCGAAATAGTTTAATTGTTTAAACATGGTCGTACATAAAACCATTCCTTTTGTTGAGCTTCTCCACAGTTTGTCTGAAGTTACTTTGAATAAATAGACAGTGAAAAATTATGAAAACCCAAAGTTTATTTCACACTTGTTACAAAGTTCAAATTTGCAAATTCCCAATAAAACAATTTAGTGCTTCAATGGAAGCTACAACCAGTTTATTAAAATTAGTTCTTGATTTATTATTTACTCAGTACCTGCTTTTATAATAAATAACAACGACGTGGACACATAGTTGTATTATACTTTATAATATGTCATTTGTGTAGCTATAACTTCGCCGAAGATAACAACATTTTGTTAAAATATACCTAAAGAATTAAACATCTGTACTATTTATTGAAATGTGCAAAATATTATCAATATAATATGTTGCACAGTATCTTAAGCAGTAAAAAGAATGTATACTTAAAATAATAATAAAAACCAAAGCTTAAGTTTTTTTTAATCTTAATTTAATTTTTTCTTTTATTACTCTATTGTAACAACATTATGGAAGAACGATTTACATTCTACTAAAATGTAATTATATAAAATGAAAAATATATTATGAAAATAATTACAATTGCATAAATTTGTTCTTCGTGATTTTCCCGAGGTTATAAATTGTGTCCATGATTGGAAACGTTGCGATTTCGACTAACTTCAATTACTACTATAAAACTATATTAGCATACTCTAAGAGATTTCATATACCAGAGCTCAAGTTTACAAACTATTCATGAAAAGATCACAAGAAAATAATATCCCATTATACAACTAAATAATAGCTATAATAGATTTATTTACTCAGAATCTTAAAATTCTATAACCTTACAGAAATGTCTATATTTTTTTCATTAATATCACAGCATTTTTCCAATTGCTTATATTATACTTTAAAATGCTATTTTACCAAAAGATTTCATAAAGCCTTTGAATGCTAAAAACAAATTTAAATAGGATTTAAAAATAAAACTCGGACGAGGTAGAAATATATTATTTCAAAATAGTATCGAAACTTTTTATGATAATATATTCTATGATTAATTTATTATTATAACTTGTGGACACAGTATTAATGTGATGTTTGATTTTCTTCAAGCTAAACTTAAATTATAAGTACCGAAATAGTTTAGAATGTACATTTAAATTTTTGGTTCTAAAAATAATAAAAGTATCAACATTAAGTCGAAATATATACATCAAATACATACTATGGGTTTCAGTGAAATATTTGACATCGAAAATGTAAATTTTTCTAAATAATATTATCTTCCATAAAAAATCAAAATTAATATCAATATTCATAGCAACAGTGATGTATATTTTACATTCTTAGCAAAACAATGACTGATTTTCCAATGTCATGTTATTTTTTTTTTGTCTGAAAAGACACTTTTTATAATTAAATAATGCTTGGATTTTTAACATTAGAATTTTTCAACCTGGAAAGTGAATCTATTTAGTACGTAGGGGATCAAACATAAAAAATGCCCAGTATGTACTTTCCTAAATAATTGAAGAAAATCAACAAAAAAAATTAAGGAAAACAGGAATTATTACACAGAACCAGTTTTTGTCGAAATCCATTTTCTTATTTCGTTGTCATTCAAAACAAAATAACCGTAGAAACCTAAATTTTCACGTCCAGTTTTTTTTATACATGATATAACTTTTAGGCAATTGTTGAGCTTTACCTAGGCCAGTGGTTCTTAACAAGTGTGACATATGTCATGAGATGAGAATGGATAAGGGTGACATAAAATATCCACAAGAAAAAGGCAAAAATAATAGAATTATAAATGTTTTAGATTAAAATTGTATTATTGCCACCAACGTAATAACAGAACAACATAATTATAAAAACATATAGTACGTTATATTAAATATTCACTAT